AGAGAAGGAGTGTAAAAATTTTGGGCTAAATACGTGTTTACCCATAAGATACAGTTGAAGAAAGCCGGCAAGGCTTCATTCTGCATTGATAGCTTTAAAAATTATCCGTTTTCATTGTCGCATGTAAATTATATTTATTTTCCGAACAAAAAAGTAACTGAAAACAATATTTATCTTCATTCAGTTTCTTCGTTGAAAATCCTACGAAGGCCTTTTAGATCAGAGGGTCATTTTATGACATCTAACTAGTTTTTATTTCTCATTATGGGCAGAAGATGTTAAATATTGTAGTACTTTCGCTATATATTTCTTTTAACATAAAATACTTTAAACAAGGACGCTGCTCTAGCTACAATTTCAATTTCATCATAAACACTCTAAAAATATGACTAAACAGAAAGAATTTGGCATTCTAATTGAGATAGGATTACTTTTTTTTATTAAAATATGTAACTAACATTATTTATTTCGTCATGTTAAAATTGTGGAAACAATTCGACATAATCCTGCAATAAAATTTGGTTCGACTGCCTGCTGTGGCCAAATGTATTCATTCAGCAGAACATGTTATTGTTATTTCACCCCATTTGGACTTACTTTCTCTACAACTCAATAGGGTTTTCCCGCTTAATGGCTATTTGTTCTCCAACGTAAACAGTTTTCATGGAGAGTGAAAGTGGGGCAGTGCGCACACTAGCATTCAAATGCAGGTCATAACTCTCCATTACATTACAGGCGAAATGGGAATCACGACTGAAATTTTACTCGCAAATGCGAAGTCCAATTGATGACAATATGATTCGGCTCCTCTCTTCTCGGGGCGGCGATTGCATCTCCTTAATCCAGTAATCGCACTTAAGGGAAACTACAGCGAGAACGGCGGAGGCAACAGCGCTGCGCGGCGGGGAGGCAAGCAATGCAGGGGGCTATGCGGAGGAATTGGTTCAACCGGTGGGTAAACCCTTTCATCCTTTAACGTTATGTTACGATATCGCAGGTCGGCTGTAATCCCCGGGATTATCTTCATTTTCACTTTCCGCGCCGCTTACTGCTCCGCCGGCGCCCCCCCCCGCCCCCCCCCCCGCCCCCACTGTCGCTCCCGTCTCTCCCCTGATCCAACGCTAGACGGCCGCTTCTGTACACCTCAGCGCTCCGGCGCGCTAGCGCCTCGCCACCCGCCGCCCGCTTGCTGAGCAAGATCCCACACGTGTTCGCGTTGCTGGTGGGGAGAGCAGGGGAGGCGTGAATACTTGTGTTTTTCAGATGGTTTCTGGATTTTTTATTTTGTATTTCTGGAAGTGTCAACCCCTGTGGTCATTAGTCCCGCGTGGTGTAATTAATGCGATATACTGAGAGGTTTACAACGGCGGGAGAGGTGGTTCAGCGGCATTCAATTGATGTCGCTGCAGTGCCTTTGACCGGGAGGGTCCTAGGGTTCGAGCCCGGCCGTTGGTAGGATTTTCCGTCACTACCTGTAGCTAGGTCGAATTAAAAATGGTCCCTGGAGGAGAAATCTTGGCGGCCGCTGCTCTGATCGGTAGTTATACGTGGTTTCTATGATCAAATCTAGACGAATGTCGGAGCAAGTAATACAAACGGACGGCACGGACCGGCGCGCGATATTTCATTCCTCTTCCTTGTCCTATCCTTCGTCTTACTTAGCACACACTTGAATTAATGGCTTCATTTTACATGGCGCGACTCGGGACCATGAGGGCCCGCTTCTGTCTGACCCACAGGACGGCCAAATTCGGCTACGCTCCCCTTTCATATAGAAGAAAAAGAAGGATTTCTTGGGCGAGACACAGGCGATTTGAATTTTAGCTTTCAGAGGGCGTCATTTAGGCCTTGAGGATCTTTTACATGCAAGTAAATTTACGAAGATGGGACAGCCCGGCTTTACTTCCCCTCCGAAGGAAGGCGTACGAAGGATTTTTTTCCGCCCTTAAAAAATGCACGGCGTCGATCGGTTTGGAACCCATTGACAAAATACACTGTCACTTATCATGCACTATTGCTACTAACACATTGCCGGGAACCCGGTCGGGAGTTAAGAGCTTGTCACGGTTGGGCGGTGTCCCGCTGGTAACGAGATATCTGGATTGGCAGAAAACAGCCACTACCGAACGGTAGGTGGCACGGGATTCGCCATCCATCGGAGAAAGATCGCCGCCATCTCTCCCGAGGAAAACTTACCTACACATTACGGATAATGAACCCCTAGTAGTTGACACGTGCCCGGTACCTTAACAATCAATCATCATCACCCGGCGCTAGCCCGCCATGGCGCCCCGCTTTTGCGGTTTGGCAGGTGAACACAATCCCTCACGGGGTCAGTAACTGTGGCGCAATGGTGGTTCACCGGTAAGAATTTGAAAATGGTTTCTTGGATTGTTTATTTTGTTATTTCCTGGCGTGACAAATTGCTTTGGTCGTTAGTTCCGTGAGTGTAATGAATGTTACAGTCGACTCCGGTTGTAGTGAACTCGGATATAGTGAACCCTCGGTTAGTGAACAAAGGACATATAACGTCCTGCAAAAGAATATATCAGTGCCAGCAATTCCAACAGCACACGGCAGATTCGAAAATGGCTGTCACAAGAAGTCATAAATCACAGAAGTCTCTCTGAAATG